AATTCATTTCTCTTGAGTAAGCTAATCAAGGGAAGAAACCCATTTACAGCAGCTAGTCTATTATGCACTACATTTTGAAAATACAAACCTCAGTCTTAAGAGTTCTAAAATAGTTTCAGACTGATGACCATTCATAAAACAAACACAGATGTGCTGAATGGCAAATAGTAGTTGTTATAGGTGTAAATTTATAAAAGAAAATGAGATTAATGAAACTAGGTGTTAACTGAAAATAATTGCACAGATAATTTAAAAGTATAGTTTTCTTTGTTAAAGCAAGTTACAAGGAATAAGACTTCAGGTGATATCATGAAGTGGACTAATTAGAAGAAGAAAGTAGGCCATCTTACAAAAATCATACTGTTTAATCAGGCCATTGAAAGCAATGCAAGAGGAGTAGCAGAACAGTGCAAGTTTTTGAGTCACATTTCTTAAAAAATAAATTTTAATTGCTGAAATTTTAATACCATTTCACAATTTAAAAGTTATTTGAATTTTACAGTGAAAAATTTTCATTGACTGATTAAAAAAGAACTCAAGTTCAGTTATTGTCTTTCCTAATGAACCTGTCACACAACAGTGAGGAATAAAAGCAATGTTTCTTGTAAATAGTTTAATTTCAGGTGAGAAATAACACAAATGTTATATTTTTCACACCCACGTTCAGAGAAAAATACACTTTGCTTTATGTGGAATAAATGCATTCATGATTTATGGGACTGGAGAAGGGAAAAGGATGGGAATAAAGCAGTGTTCTGGTATACCAAAAAAAAAAAAAAAGTAATAAAGATCTATATAGACAAGCTACAGCTTGCTGAAAGCCAAAACTAAGTTGCCCAGATTGGTGCTTAGCTCCAAGAAAGACTCAATCCACCGCAGAGGTAAGGCTGCTAGTATGTGCCCCAAGGTTTTGTATAAAATCATAGAATCATTAAGATTGGAAAAGACCTCCAAGATCATCTGGTCCAACCATCCCCCTACCACCAACTAAATTTATCACCCACTAAACCATGTCCCTAAGAACCACGTCCAACCTTTCCTTAAACACCCCCAGGGGTGGTGACTCCCTTCCAATGCCTGACTACTCTTTCTGAGAAGAAATTTCTCCTAATTTCCAAACTAAACCTCGCCTGGAGCAACTTGAGATCATTCCCTCCTGTCCTATCACTAGTTAACTGCGAGAAGGGGCCTTTCAGGTAGTTGTAGAGAGCAACAAGGTCTCCCGTGAACCTCCTCTTCTCCAAACTAAACAACCCTAGTTCCCTGAGCTGCTTCTCATAGGACTTGTGTTCCAGACCCTTCACCACCTTTGTAGCCCTTCTCTGGACATGTTCCAGGGCCTCAATGTCTTTTTTTAGTGACGGGCCCAAAACTGAACACAGTACTAAAGGTGCAGCAGTTCTTGAAGAGCTGCTGCCTGTGGGAAGCCCATGTAGGATCAGTTTGAGAAGGACTACATTCCATGGTAGGGACCCTACGATGGAGAAAGGGAAGAGAGTGACTGTGAAGGAGGGGCAGAGGAGAAGCTACAGAATGGCAGCAACCCCCATTCCCCCATTTCCCTGTGCTGCTGGGAAGAGGGTGGATGGTGGGAAGGTGCTTTTAGTTTGTTTTCTTTGTTTCTCACTCCTATAGCTTGTTAGTAAGAGGCAAAAAAAAATAAAATAATAATCTTCCTATGGTGAGTCTGTTTTGCCCGTGCCAATAATTATCGAGTGATCTCCCTGTGATCTCCTCTGCACAGCTTTCCAGCCACTCTCCCCCAAGCCTGTAGTGCTGCATGGGGTTATTGTGACCAAAGTGCAGGACCTGGCATTTAGCCTTGTTGAACCTCATCCCACTGGTCTCTGCCCATCAACCCATCCTGTCCAGGTCCCTCTGTTGGGCCTTCCTACCCTCCCGCAGATCGACACTTCCCCCCAACTTGGTGTCGCCTGCCAACTTACTGAGGGTGCACTCAATTTCCTCATCCAAATCATCAATAAAGATATTAAAGAGGATGGGCCCCAACACTGACCTTTGGGGAACACCATTCATGACCGGTCGCCAGCTGTATTTCACTCCATTCACCACTACTCTCTGGGCCTGGCCATCCAACCAGTTTTTAACCCAGCAAAGAGTGTACCTGTCCAAGCCATGGGCTTCCAGCTTCTCCTGGAGAATACTGTGGGAGACCATGTCAAAGGCTTTGCTGTATGTATGACACTTAGAAAAATATTGGTTTGAATTAAAGTTATGAACATTTCAAACTGAGAGACAAAAAGGTTCAAAAGTTTTTCACTGGTGTTAATAAGAAACTTAAATAGTTTATCAGTGAGGTAGAAGAACCATCTTTGAGAGAAAGAAGAGTTTTAGAGCTTTTACCTCCACAAAACATTTTGGAAGTGAAAACTTAAGAAATCAGGACAGCTTTATGAGTAAGATCGTTTTTATAAGAGTTGAAAAAAAAATCATTGAAAAGTATCACTTCAGTCATTTTAAAGTGGTAGTAGAGCCCAAGACAGAAGGGAAATGTTCAGTCCATATATTCCATTCAGTTTGTAACATGTGAACAGTTTTAGCTGATGAGAATACAGGGCAAGATTGTATGTTCGGAAAGCCCAGGAAGATATTGTTCCAGCTTCTAAAGAACGTCTAAGTTACTGTATTGGGTTTATGTGGGAAGATGTTGGTAGCGGGAGCAGGGGGCGGGGGTGGGGGTGGGGGGGTGGGAAGAGGCTGCAAAGGTGTCATCTGTGAGACCAGGAGCTGCCACTATGTCTGACACAGCCAGTTCCAGCCATCTCCAAAAGGGACCCACCACTGGCCAAAGCTTAGACAATGAGTGATGCTGGTTGTGCTTTTGTGTTGACATATTTAAGAAAGGGGAAAAAAAAATGCTGTGCAGCAGCTGTGAGAGAGAAGAGTGAGAAAAGATGTGAGAGAAAACTCTCAAGACACCAAGGTCAGTGAAGAAGCAAGGGGAGGAGGTGCTCAAGACGCTGAAGCAGAGATTCCCCTGCAACCCATGGAGAAGACCATGGTTAAGCAGGTTGTCCCCCTGAAGACCATGGAGGACCACAGTGGAGTAGATGTCCAAAGTGCAGTCTGTGGAGGACCCCATGCCAGAGCAGTTGGATATGCCCTGAAGGAAACTGCAGCCTCTGGAAAGTCCAATTAAGGAGTAGGCTCATGGCAGGAACGGTAGCTCTGTAGGGGACCCACGCTGGAGTAGTCCATTCCTTAAGAACTGTACTCCATGGTATGGACCCATGCTGGAGCAGTTCTTGAAGTACTGCATCCCACAGGAAGGATCCATGTTGGAGCAGTTCCTGAAGGACTGTATCCAGTGGGAGGGACCCCACACTGGAGCAGGGGAAGAGTGTGGAGAGGAAGGAACTGCAGAGATGTACTGTTATGAACTGCCACAACCCCCATTCTCTACCCCCCATGCAAATTGAGGGGGAGGAGGTAGAAGAATGGGGGGTGAATTTTAGCCTGGGAAGAAGGGTGGTGGGTAGGTGCTTTTAGTTAGTTTGTGGGGTTTTTTTAGTTCTCACTATCCTATTCTACTATTAACTGGCAATAAATTAAATGATTCTTCACCAAGTTGACTCTGTTTTGCTCATGACAATAATTCCTGAGTGATCTCTCTGTCCTTATCTCAACCCACAAGCTTTTTCATCTTATTTTCTCCCCTGCCTTGCTGAGGAGGGAGAGTGAGAGAGCAGCTTGATGAGCACCTGGCTACCAGCCAAGGTTAACCCACGACAGTAAGAAATAATTTAACACACTAACATATATGCAAAATTATGAAAGTGAGGTTTCTGTTATCTCCTCCTCAAAAGACTATTTCAGTGATTTACATTTACCATAAAGCAAAATGTTCAAAGACTATGAGCCTATTTATAGCACACATTACAGTCTTAAATTAATCTCTAGAAGAGTATAAATGCTTTCCCTACCCGACAAAGCAGGATGTATTTTATGCTGCAGGCTATTTGCACTACTATTTTTCTTGTGACATTCATATTCCACCCTATGTTCTATACTTGGGCTCTAGTTAAAAGCACAATACTGTTAGTGTCATTCTGTTAGATCATTATGCTGAGAAAAATAATTAACGACACATCAAAGATATATGTCTTAGGAAAAGAAATAAAAAAATTCTGATACCTGCGACATTAGAGGAATACAAAAATAAAAAGAAGTTTGCTGAATAACTGGAATAGTCTTCATGAAGGAAAAAAATCCAAGTATTAAATAAGCTTCCTACTCTGTAAACTGTATACAAAACACTGGGTTCTACTACATTTTGCCTGCTTAATTCAAACACCAAAAAAACCAACTTCTTACTTCTGTTATTCTTTGAAATAACAATACAATTAGAAAATATAAGTGAATATAAATCTTGTACTTTAAGTCAATATAATGAAGTTTAGGACTTTAGGGTCATAAAATCCTAGGGGGTTTTGAACCCATAGGGTGAAATAACCTATGAATTGTTTTCATTCCCACTACAGATTTTTATGGCTCTGCTACACAACATTAACTGTACAATTAGCTAAAATAAGAACATCTCTCTACAGTCAATTCCAATCCACTTTAACACAAAATAGATAGGTTGCACTGACTCTCCACTGAGGAGATCAGTTTGTATCATATTATTTGAGGCTTAGCCTCTTGATCCCTGTAGAACTTCTAATACTATTACATGCAATTGCATACAACTGCTGGTAGACATTTGGAAAACAGATGGGACTTGACAAGCCAGTCTGCTTTGAAAATGTCTTAGAAGAACTAACAAATCTGAATTTTGATGTTTAGCACAAACTGTTCAATCAGTATACTTTACTAGTCCAGCAATTTTAATCTCCAAATAATTATGTAAAAACACACACATTTCTACTGAAGCTTTCCAAAAACTTGTGTTTTAACCAAATTTTAAATGCAATTTAAAATGATTTTTAGTGGAATTATTTTTTCTTCGAAGCTGGTCATTTATGCTGATGTTTTCTTACCTCATTGTCTGACTCCACAAGCACTTGATCATATTCACTAAGGGCTACTAGGAACATGATAGATGTGACATTTTCAAAGCAATGTATCCATTTTCTTCTTTCTGATCGTTGGCCTCCTACATCCACCATTCTGCAAAATTAACAATGACCACATAAATTCTACAAATACCTTAGCAGATAAACATACAGTCACATATGGAACAATGAATTCAAGAATTTAGATGAAAACACAATTTGGTTTGTTTTTCTTAAAAAAAATAAAATCATCCATTAATATTTCACAGAATTGTAGAATTGTTCAGGTTGGAAGGGACCTCTGGAGGTCATCTGGTCCAACCCTGCCTGGCTCAAGCAGGGCCATTTGCCCAGGACCAAGTCCAGACAGCTTTTGAAGATCTCCAAAGAGGGAGACTCCACAACCTCTCTGGGCAACCTCTTCAAGTGCTCAGTCACCCGCACAGTAAAGAAGTGTTTCCTGATGTTTTGACAGAATCTCTTGTGTTCCAGTTTGTGCCCATTGCCTCTTGTTCTGACACTGGGCACCAATGGAAAGAGACTGGATTTGTCTTCATTGCGGCCTTCTTTCAAGTATTTATAGACATTGATGAGATCCCCTCTGAGCGTTCCCTAGGCTGAACAGTCCCAACTCTCTTAGCCTTTCCTCCTAGGAAAGATACTCCAGTCCCTTGATCATCTTGGTGGCCATTCGTTGAACTCTTTCCAGTAGCTCCATGTCTCTCTTCTAATGGGGAGCCCAGAACCGAACAGAGATGCAGCCTCACCAATGCTGAATAGAGGGAAAGGATCACCTCTCTTGACCTGTTGGCAGTACTTTGCCTAATGCAGACCAGGATTTCTTCTTTGTGGCAAGGTCACGTTGCTGACTCATGTTTAACTTGGTGTCCACCAGAATCCCCTAGGTCATTTTCTGCCCAGCAGCTTGACAGAAAAGCAGCAATAGACTCTGTGTGGCTCCCAGGATATACTGGTGCATGAGTTTGTTCCTCCCCAGGAATGAAGGGGGTGGGGGAGAGAGTAACCAGCAGCCCCGTGGGGGACTCATAGACAGGGCTGCTGAACAAAGGGCATGGGGTAATGTGAAAGGGAAGAATTGCAAAATCAACAAAATGGGGGTTAAGCAGGGTCACCTCCAGCACTTGCAGGTAAGAAAGGATGTGTCTACAAGGCACCATTATGGATAAGTCCCCAACATCCAACATGTTGGGGTGTGTCTCTAAATTGCCTGTATACTAATGGATGTAGGATGGGAAATAAACAAGATGAGTTAGACATGCATACAGTTGCAGGGCTACAATCTTTCTGGGATCATGGACATGGTGGGATAATTCCCATGGCTGAAATGTTGCAATGAAAGTGTACAGACTTTTTAGGAAGGACAGGCTGGGGAGATGAGGAGGGAGGTCTTGTTTTCTATGTGAGCTAGAGTGCATGGAGCTCTGCCTGGAGATGAATGAGGGAGGAGCTGACTGAGAGTTTATGGGTTAGGATTAAAGTTGACCAGCTTGTTACAGCTGACCAATTTTAAGAGCATAAACTGAATACAATGTATTTACTAAAGTTAATAGCCAAAATAAAAACTCAAATTTGCCTGCAGAGTGTACTCCTAATTCGTTAGGCATCTCAGTGTAACTAGACACTCAGGTGTCTTAATTGCAATTGCAATTGCATAGTTATTTTTTAAGCAACTGTTTTTGCACTCAGAATGAGCTGTGGTGAAAATCATTTGTTGGAGTGGTAGTAAACTTACAAAATATCACTTCTCTCTAAAAATCAAGTACAGAAGTGGTACCTTTACATTTCATAATTTACATGAAGTAGAAGGAAACATGATTGCATTTTCTGATTATTATTCATGATGAAACAGCTATACTCATTCTACTGAAAAATTGCTTTCAGTTTTTCTGTCAGTAATTAACTTCAGAAAAAGTCTATTTGTCTCTCATCCTCTTGACATCTTTAATGATAGTTGCCCTTCATATATGGACAAAACCATAAAATTAGCAATCTCAAACTTTAAACATAGAAGAATTTGTACTTTTAACCAATATCCTGTACATGGTATTACTAATATAAAAGGAAAAGAATAAATAACCAAAGCATCTGTCTACTTTTTTTCTACCTGAAAATGACGCTTTGTAAGTCGAATGGATATTCAATGATCCCTGTTGTTGGGACTCGAACTCTAAGCACATCTTGCTGAGTTGGCAGGTAGGTTGAATCTGCTATGCGGTCCAAATCGTTAAGATAACTATAGACAGGGAGAAACAACAGGAATGCAAGACAGTGACACCATTATACTACTGAGGAGAAGAGAAAGGAAGACTTGGGAAAAGAAGTAGGGTGTGGGATAGGAAGAAGTGCAACAGAAAAAATTGGCATAAAAGAGGGAAGAAAATGGACATTTTCATAGCTTCCAGTAAATAGTACAAAAGGACAGCATAATCATTATGATTTTCATATAAATTTGTTTGGATTTCACACATGGAACTACCAACAATTCAGAATTTTTAATTATTTAGTTCTGGGTAAAGACAAATAATATGATAAAATGTCTAAGAAATATAAACCAATATAATTTTATCTGAATATCTTTTTCCTGATATTTACTTTGTAGTGTCAACACAGATACATGGATAGAGAAACACGAATCTTTCAAGTGACAGTTAACTCATTTAGCAGAGATCATTATCAGTTACAAAATGGTAGGAGGATAAATAGCACTCTTTGGAGCTAAAAGAAACAAACTCACACTGACTGATTAAAAAAAATCTCTCCAGATATTGTTATCAGAAGGGAGAGCTATGATCATCTAGTGTGATGTCTGGCACCTGAAATTCCTTCATCCAGGCAGAAAGTTCTGATAAAGTTATTAAGCCTACAGTACGTGAAATGCATCCAAGTCAGTTAGCAAATAATCTGAAACTGCAATAAAACTGTAATGACTTTTTAACTATAACAAACAACTCTTCTGCTATTGCTTAATGGTGGTTTTCAACCATAAAGCAGCAGTGCACTGGAGGTTTTAATTCACTTTCATGAGAGATGCTTCAAAAAACAAACAAACAAAAAACAAACAAACAAACAAACGATTGATTGGGTCCAGTAGTTGCATGCGAATTTAGTGCACCAGGCAGTTTGGGCTCTCCCTAGGCTAGATGTCTGCTGTAGGAAAGTAGGAAATTAAGTTTTTGTGTATTTGATTACTTCCAAGCACAAGGATGACCTAGTTGGTCACAGTTAGTCACTGATAAGATAACCTAAGGCCACCATGATTCATTCTAGGGGAAGGCACCAATGGACTCTGTGCAGTTTATCAAATCACTGAATATCACTAAGCTCTGAATATATTCTTTTCTTCATAGTTATTATTTAAGGTGTTATTTTTAAAAATAAATTCACAGAAAAAATAACTAGGCTACTTCTAGATACTCAGAATGATTTGTTAAGAAATAGTGAAAGTTGTCATGAACAATGACAGAAACAGCAATTTGAGTTCTAATTTACAGTATAAATACAGAAGAATTAATTTGTTAACCCTGGCAGAGAGCAAAAAATATTATCAAATTTTCTTCACTATGATTTTATTCATGAAAGATTAAGCTGACAGTAAACGTTGAATATGAGAATATTACACATAATAAGAAAGATGTATTGAACCATATATCTTAGAAAAAAATATATTCAGAAGTTAGTACTGTGATAAAATTTTCTTAGAACACTATTTCTAGGGTTTTCTAGGGTTTTTCTAATTATTTTTTTTATATTTTCTCAGAACTAGTTTCTGCCAATAGGAAAAAAGGCTTGAAAATCTGAGCATTTCATCTGCCCTTAGATGTTTTACACAAAAAGCAGAATAGATAAGCTGATCATCAATTTGTTGCGGGGTGTGTGGATTTGTTATGGATAACCACAGGAGGAAATCCAAAGAGACACTGCAACACTAATTGACCTCTTTTTTCCTCCCACCCCTCCGTTGTCTGGATTACATACTTGGATTTTTCCTTTCTCTTTCCTTTGTTTTTGCAAAGAGATGTTACATTGTTTAGGTTGAAGGAATGTGGTATTGAGATATACTTGCAGTGATAAGAAAGCTTACTAGACAACCTTGTAAAATGCAGACAAGACTCAGTGCAATTAAGCGAAAATCACAGTGTCAAGTCAGATAAGGGAAGGAATATTGCCACCTCATAGAGTAAAAAGTCACAAGAAACTTGAAAAATAACAGGCTGGCAACTGAAAGCCATGTATTATCTGTGGAGCGTCAGATAGGTTGTGAATCTGGAGTACCCAGTCAATGGGGAAACAGGGGAGGGTCCCAATCATCGAGAGATAAAGTATATAAACTGTGCTATGCAATTAGAAGGCGCGCTCCTGCTTGCAGGACACCCACCATTGCAACTGTGAATAAAAATGTTACTTCACTGAGATCCTCGCCTGAGCCTATGTTATTGGCCACAGAGTGTTTTCCACAGTCCCATACAAAATTAACTGCTGATATGGTTTTACAAGCATTTTACCTCCATCTATATTTGGATCCCAAGGAGGTTCTTGCTCTGGCATGAACCTCTCCGGCCCTTCCTTTACATTAATCTTCCTATTTTCCTCATTAGCCTTCTCTAACACCAACTGTCTCTCTTTCAACGTTTAACAAAACCTGCATGTCTTCCAGTCAGGACTGTGATTAAGTACAGTCATTTGAAATACTCAGTATACCATCTCAGGATTTTCTCTGTAGGATGACTGACTCTTTCCAATTTATAATGGTACTTTTACAAAAAACATTAATCCCTGGGGTCATACTGCTTCCCAAAGTGGGGCCTGAAATGCTACCGGATTTTGTGCCTTCAATTCTCCCTGCAATTGGACTAAATCCTACCACTCTCCTAAACTCCTCACTCCCTTGCCTTTCATCTACAATACTTCCTCGATCTGAATCTCTTTCATTGGATACCAAATGCTGTACATCTTCTTCCTCTTCACCTTGTTTCAAACACCTCTTTCCGATACTACATGCTGAGCAACACCTAGAGAGATGCTTAATCTCTTTATCAGACATCATCATCATTACATTACCATCATTGATTAACAGTTTACATTTTTCCTAGTATCATGATCATTCCATAAAGAAAAAAAAAATCTAAATAAGGTGCTTAATTACCTATTTATCCCATTTGCCTGTTTTGACAAAATAACATCAGTTATAAAATAGTATTATAATGCAAAGTACCCAATCTCAGTCATTTTTCCCTATCATCTAATTTATATTTAGGCCACTACTGCATGCAATATTGCTTCAGTTTTCCTTTATTTAGGGGATCCCCACCAAACTTATTCCAGTTCTTAGGGATGCATCCTAAAGGTGAACAAGGAGTTGGTTCTGAGGAAGGACTAGTCCCCATTTTACCACACGAAATGGTCTATACCCACAACTCTGGTTGTTTTGTGCACGCTGGAGTCCTGCAAATCCCCTCTCCCCACCGGCAGCCAACAAGACGATCTGGGAAAGGCTCTAAGGCTGTCCCATCTGTGTCACCAAAAACTGTTGTCCAATAAAAAGTTTGGATTTGTTACCCAGTGTGCAATAAGCCAATCCACACACTAGGTTGAAATATTGTATATTTCAGAGTTGCAGAAGTCTGGGTACCAGGTGGTTTCTCACAAAGCTGGCACACCTAAGGATTTTCTACACCACTCTTTATAAAGTTCCTTACATTTACATGTTTGTACAATCCCCTAGCCTCCGATTGGTTACATAATTAGCATAATGCTGACATGACAGAATCATTCTGTGCATCCTCAGAAAGGAATGGTCCCTTGTTGGGCTGGGGTGTCCCAGCCCAGGGGCATGATTTTTACTATTATGAGGATAGTTCACAGAGACATAACGTTAGAATGGTCCTAATCTTTGTTTTTCAGCCAACTATTCATGACAGGTTGATTGATGATTGATTCAAAGATGTAATTCAGAATGTTTCCCTCAAGAATGTCAACATAATTGTCTTCCTGGTTAGCAGTTCCTCAGTTAATCATCCTTTAGACATCTCCAAGGCCTGGGTCATCTTGCCTTTTCCTCAAAGTACATATTTTATCTCTTTCACACAAAACAGAGATAAACATACACTGGTACCACCACCAAAAACATAGGTTTTATTTTTATTTTGTGACTTTATTTGGGAAAAATAAGGGTACAAGAAGGATCATTATATGTTATAGTGGTATTCATGAAAACAGGAGAATTTTAAGAGAATAAAATTGTATGTGACCCGTTCATACAATTGCCTTGTTGCATTCCTTTGGAAAGCCTCTGCTGTAATATCTAATGTGTAAACCTAGTTACTGTACCTCAGCACCATGAGCATAGTGGACATATTACTAAGATATGCAGTAGTCCTGTTGGGAGGAATGGGTTAAAAACAAAAGACTGGTGAGGAGGATTGTAAATAGGTTCAAGTGACCTTGCAGCTGAGAATGCGCAGTCTGGAGAGCAGCAATGTAGAAAAACATTTAAATTATGTCTGCTGCTGTTTATGCTCTGTGTGCTTGGCAAGTAGCACATCTGTGCATAGATAAAACGGGTGGTGTTTGGTAGACTCAGAGGCACCCTATCAGATGCACTTGAGTTCCTGGCCTTGGTACAGAGATGATCAAAGAAGCACAGTGAGGATCACAGCATGGTGGTAAAAACAGTGTGTGCATGAACCTTTGATAAAAACAGGTGAAACCAGAAGGTTGGTGATCTCCTAGCATGGACCCTGTTAGCATTTCCTGCATCACTGCTTGTGTGCCTCCACATGTGTGCTTCTTCTCGGGATTCCCTGGTTGGTGAGGTAACAAGAATAAATCTACTCTTTGCATTTTAGCCATGAGTCTGTGGTTGTTCCTGCTGCCTACCTGTGTTGACTCACACAAGTTCACATCTTTTTTTAGAAGGACAGTAATTTAAAGGGACATTAAAAAATAGAAAAGTCTCATTTGTGTTATTGGAAACCATTTAAAGAGCAACTGGGATTTTTTCTGTCCTAACACAAATCACTGTTTTAATTAAGTTCTAGAAGCACTAATTTATCATTTAAAATTACATATCTTTTCGTCATACTCATTCATTTCTGCTTAAGTTCTGCTTTTACACATGTACAAAATGGAAATCTTTTTACTCATTTCACCAGTAGCACCTTCTAAAGTTTACACAGAATCCTTACATTCCTTATAGAGTCCTATTTCCTTCCTTAGATATCTGCACTTATGTAG